TGCTACCGTCCTATGTCCCACGAATCGCCAGTCAGATCCCGTGTGGGGTGGTGCAAGTGGCTACTTCTTGAACTCGACCGCAGAAGTTCCACCCTGTCATTCATACACTGCAACGTACCATAATCCTCTAGACCGTACACGACCCATCACCTGTAAGTGAGACCTGAGGTGATTTGGAAGTGACCCCCACCAGCCCAGCCGTCCCTTGCGTCACGAAACAGATCGGAGCAGAAACAGGAACACACGGAGCAGAGCAGACTCGCACAGAGCAGAGCGGAACGAAAACTGGACCCAACAGCACGGGATGAAAGAGAGGGAAAGCAGCAACGGAATAAGTAGATCTCACTTCACCCTGACTCGCACTCGGCTCGGACTTGTGCTGGGGGGCATGCTATGGACCATGGCCCACCCACACTTGTATTTTCTCCGCTTCTACGTTTCGTGCAATTAAAGCTGTAAAGGGGAAAGCTGTACGCGTTTGCTTTGGTCGTATTCATGCGAGCGGGAAAGTAGCGGGCAGCATTGCACAGTAGATGGCGTCGACTCGTGTGCGTTCCCGCACGGCGTTGCCGCGCAAAACGACAGAGTCGTTACATCGCCATTGGCCCAGTGCCACCCATGCCCAGAGCAGGCCCCACCCCGCCCAATCCGCCATCGTCCGGCACGGACCGCCCCTGCCGCACCGCCTAGTAGCATGCGGACGACGAGCAAGCCAGTCGCGGCATTCGCAGCGGCCGTTGCCCCCCCAGCATGCGCGCCCTCCGAGTGCGGTCGAGATTCGTCGCACACACCGCCGCATGTGCTCAGCCTCCGCGAGTCCCGACCCCCGACACTCTCCGTTGCCCGTCACAGCAAGGCATGGACGCCGTTGCTCGTAACAGCCGAAGGCATCATGAGCTCAGCGCAGCGCAGAGCAGCGCGAGGAGAGAGGGACGATATAGAGAGTGTCCGCGGCGTCTCACTCCACAGTATTCTCTCCGTCCGCACAATACAGCTCGCTCGTCGCAGCGTTCGGCTCACACCTCGCCTATTAGTAGCGCCAGAGACCGCTATTCTTTCGAAGCTAACAAATCGAGCAACCTCGCCTTCTGTGTGAAACCACTGCCCACGTTAACAACAACGCTTATACGAATTGGAGCTAGTTTGCTCTTTCCGCCTAGCAGCATTGCGGTGGTAGTTCCGCCGAATCTTCCCGCTTCTCCACCATTGCTCGCCGCCCTCAGCCCGCGCCCGTTGTTTTGCTGCCGCGAGCAGCCCTGCCGCGCTGCAGATCCCGTTCGCGAAAAGGGTCGGCCTTCAAGATGCGAGCGTCGCACGTTCGCGACATAATGCCGAGATCGCACGCGGGTGTCGCCGCGATGGAGGCAGTCGCTGAAAGCCCCTGCCCCATTACCGCAGCAGCGGACGTCGGTCACCGCGCGCGCGCGCCGCAGCTCCGCCAGCGGGCACCCGCGGAACAATCGGCGGGCTCCGAGTCACGCCCCGCCCGGCCTTGCGCTGGCAGGAGAGCGGCGAATGCGCCCCGCTCGCGGCAATACTTGGCGCGATGGACCCCCGAGGTGAGCTCCCCCGCGCCCCGCCCCTCCGCGCCCCTCCGCACCCTTTACGCCTCCTCCTCCCACCCCTCATTGCCTTCTCCTCTCTCTCCCCGTCTCCTCCCGCGCGGATGCGATTCCATCGCAGGAATCAATTCCCCTTGTCTCAATTCTTCTGCTTTCTCTCTTTCTCTCTCCTCCACTCTTCCCCCCACCCCATGCGCGCAGGAGGACGCGGTGCTATTGGAGCACGTGATGGCGCACGGCACGGCGGAGTGGGGGCAGCTCAGGGCGAGCGGCCGACTGCCGCTGCGCGACAACAAGGCGTGCTGCAACCGCTTCCTCCTTCTCAAGAGGTATGCTACAGCCGCTTCCTGCTGCTCAAGAGGTATGCTACAGCCGCTTCCTGCTGCTCAAGAAGCCAATGGCTGACGTGTCGCCATGGCCGCTCGCCTCTGGCCTCTCATCCTCATCCGTGCTCTCGTCTCTCTCCTGACCCTTGTGTGCCTCACAGGAAATTCCTCCTACTCGACGACTATCATGAACAGCAGCAGCAGCAGCAGCAGCAGCAGCAGCAGCAGCAGCAGCAGCAGCAGCAGCAGCAGCAGCAGCATTACCAGCTGCCCCAGCAGCCCCAGCACTACCAGCACCGCCACGAGCACAACGGTCAGCAGCAGCACGACATCTCCTCCTGGCTGCGCCTGCAGCACCATGCTCACCCCGCCAACCTCCCCTTCTGCTTCCAACCGCCTGACACCGCACTGCACCTGTTTGCCACCGCGCCACAGGCCTACCCGCAGGCGACTCAGGCAAGGCAGCAGTCGACTGCACGGCTCGGCGGGTGCGAGGGCGAGTGGATGGGGAGCAAGGCGGACGGGTGCCCTGAGGGGGCCACGTGGTGGGAAGGGGTGATGGACCCTCATGGGCTGGGAGGCGCTCGCATGGGCGCACGAGGGTGGGATGGCGCGGAGCAATGCGGAGGTGTGCGTGAGTCTGTGCTTGGCAAGAGTGCACGCGTGCAAGGCAAGGCTGTACCGCTGCAGCGACAGACGGACCCAGTGATGCAGCAGCAGAGTCACTCGGCTGGCGTGGAGCAGGCTGTGAGGACAAGCGCCTGTGCTGCTCCATCAGCATGTGCGACCCTGCTGCATCCGCGCCCCGCCCCCTCTGCACTCCCTGCTGCTTCCACTCGCCTCACTCAATGCCCACCAGTCGCTCCTTTCATGCTGCCCGCATCACCGCCGTCAACCCATTCTGCCGCTGCTACCCCATGCGCCCCCAGCCCTCTCTCTGCAGCCTCGTCGCTGCCCTGCCTGCTCCACAACCTCCCTGCCCTCCACCCTCTCCCCCTCCTCGCTGCGGACGCTCAACTGCACGCTCCCCATCCCCTGCCTGCACTCCCCTGCACCACCGCTGCGCCCCCTGCTGCTCCTGCTCCTGCTGGTGATGCCATGGGCACATGTGTGGGGGCGGGGCCGTCAGACGGACAGCCCCAGGCTGATCTGGACAGGTGGGTCCTGGAGCAGGTGGGGCTCATGGTGGGCGGCCGGGGGGGTGCTGCGCCTGGGGGTGCTGCGCTGCTTGCAGATGTGAGAGGGAGGGGAGAGGGCGGAGTAAGTGGAGATTTGGAAGGAATGGGATTTGCCACAGGGGAGGGAGGTATGGGGCATGGGGGAAAGAGGACAAGGGTGAGTGGCGGTGGGGAGTGGGATGCGCAGCAAGGGGAGGCGTGCATGTGGGAGGGTACTCAGAGTTACTGTGAAGGGTGGATGGGCGGAGAGGGTGCGGGGAGAAAGAGGCTTGAGAAGGAAGGGGAGCGAACGATGCCAAGGCAGGAAGGCGGCCAACGGCATGCTGTTGGCAAGGAGGGATTCCAAGCTTGTGACCTTGAGGGCTTGATGATTTCAAACGACCAACTCCTGCTTGCTCTGCAGAGTGCCGCTAGTGCTGAAGACATAGATAGTTTCGTAGATCGTTATAGTGATTTTACTCTCCTTGAGAGAACTTGAGCTCTTTAGTGTACCGGTAAATGCTTTCCACCAACCGTATTATTATATACCAATATGCATAGTGGAATCTTTCACACCATTCTGTAGCTGATTGGATGCGAATTCTGTATAGTATACTGATTTGTAATGCACAAGCTTTGTAGTGAAAAACGCATATGCATATAAATAGGCATTATTATTTGCTGGTACTGGTCAGGCTTTGTAAAGCTTGTGTCTTGATCTGCATTTCAGAGCATCCTACAGGTGCGTCCTTCTCCAGCTCATCACCACCACATGTAGCTTGTGGCTGTCGTTAACGGATATTACCTGAGAAATGGGAAGTTTTGTCCTCGGACCTTCTGGAAGCTGCATCCTTTTTTTAGACCAATCAATCACGACGCTTCAACCCTCCCTGGTTGTGGGAGTTCCACGTCACCTCATCGTGGCACTTCTGCCGGGAGCGTCGCATGATCACATCACATGGCGTCCTCGTGGCTCCGATCTCGACTCTCGAACCCATGATTGGAGGGGACGGGCGAGCAGTGTGTATGGCATGCGGAATTTGCGCCACCGTAGCGTACGACTCGGCGCCTGTAATGCTGCCGCTCAACGCGCAGGCTCACGTGACGCATCGCAAGTAAGTACACATACAAGTCACATGGCGGACTCGCCTTACTAGTCACAAGCTCTCTACCCTCCGCACCTTTTCACTCTCTCCTCCCGTTACAGCTTCGGTCGGTAACTGGTTTCTTGAACAGGCTCGTCCCAGTTCCTGCATCCTCAGGCCTCCCCGCAAGTGGAGCTTTACGGCGAATGCGAGTTCCGGAATTCGACTGCTGCCCTCTTTTCCGCTTGCTCCTCAGCGTGCATTAGCTGGCGATGTAGCATCAGTGCCATCTCCCGACAGCACAGTGTTTCTCGGACAGAAATTCGCGAATGTCATGCGTCCGAAGGAATGAGAAGCGACGTGTTCAGACAGATACTGTACTCTCGGAGAGTCTCGTTGCGACGGATACTGTTGAGACGCCTGTGGAGATGGAGCCGACTTACGAGTCTCGTTGCGCTGCATCCACGTCCTTTCGGCGCTCGTCGCGCCTTTCATCGATTGTTTTCCAAGCCCCGCAGATTACAAATCTCGTCTCACGAACACAAATCTCAACGCTTTCGTTCTTCGTCCAGAACCTCCAGGCTCAAATTAGAGTGACAATTGCGTGCGACGCCGCCGCAGTGTGGAGGCCACGACCCATCGCTTCCCATCAGCCTATATACAGCATTGCAGGAAGTCGGAGCAGGACCGCTATCCTAAACCTACCCCGCATTCTGTAACTGTCTGCGAACAACACCCATCTGCGACACTCGGTGTGGCGAAGAGTGACGAAATTATGCCAATGTCGCACGAGGTGGGATGGCATTACGATGCGGCCGCGATCGACGCGACTGTGGCGAGCTGCTACACCACCGACAGCGATGACGCTCGTCCGCCGCGACTCCACGAGTCTGTTGCCGCAAGCCCGCCAATGCGACGTGTCGACTGCAGGCGAGCGGCGAATGCGGGGCGGTCTCGGCAGTACATGGCGCGATGGACGCCCGAGGTGGGCTCTCGCCTCATCCCCACCAGAGCGCGCCACGATTTCCTCAATGGCTACAGTTCGTGCTCTCGTCCTCGTCCCCTTCCCGCGCCTCAGGAGGACGCGGTGTTAGGAGCACGTGATGCGTCGCCTCCCTCACCCCACCTTGTCGCCCTCAATTCTTCTGCTTCCTCTCTTTCTCTCTCCTGTCCCCCCTCCTCCCCCTCCTTATAGCGCGCCGGAGGACGCGGTGCGGTTAGAGCACGTGAAGCTTGTGTCCCCTCGTCTCAAATCTCCTCCTTTCACTCTCCTCACCCACCCCCACCCCCTCTCTACCGTTGTGCCAGGAGGACGCGGTGCTATTGGAGCACGTGATGGCGCACGGCACGGCGGAGTGGGGGCAGCTCAGGGCGAGCGGCCGACTGCCGCTGCGCGACAACAAGGCGTGCTGCAACCGCTTCCTGCTGCTCAAGAGGTATGCTACAGCCGCTTCCTGCTGCTCAAGAGGTATGCTACAGCCGCTTCCTGCTGCTCAAGAGGTATGCTACAGCCGCTTCCTGCTTCTCAAGAGGTATGCTACAGCCGCTTCCTGCTGCTCAAGAGGTATGCTACAGCCGCTTCCTGCTTCTCAAGAGGTATGCTACAGCCGCTTCCTGCTTCTCAAGAGGTATGCTACAGCCGCTTCCTCCTTCTCAAGAGGTATGCTACAGCCGCTTCCTGCTTCTCAAGAGGTATGCTACAGCCGCTTCCTCCTTCTCAAGAGGTATGCTACAGCCGCTTCCTCCTTCTCAAGAGGTATGCTACAGCCGCTTCCTCCTTCTCAAGAGGTGTGCTACAGCCGCTTCCTCCTTCTCAAGAGGTATGCTACAGCCGCTTCCTCCTTCTCAAGAGGTATGCTACAGCCGCTTCCTCCTTCTCAAGAGGTATGCTACAGCCGCTTCCTCCTTCTCAAGAGGTATGCTGTAACCGCTTCCTCCTTCTCAAGAGGTACCTTCCCTCTGTGCCGCGCCACTCCCTCGGCTTGCGCCTATCTCTCCCGGCCTTGCGCCTATCTCTCCCGGCCTTGCGCCTATCTCTCCCGGCCTTGCGCCTATCTCTCCCCGCCTTGCGCCTATCTCTCCCGGCCTTGCGCCTATCTCTCCCGGCCTTGCGCCTCACTTCTCCCCTGCCTTCCGCTTCTCCTCTTCCCCCGCGCCTCGCAGGAAATTCCTCCAGCACGAGCAGCAGCACGAGCAGCAGCAGCAACAGCAGCAGCCGGAATCTCCCTCCTGCCGACGCCCGCAGCAGCCTCCGCACCCTAGTGCTCGCCCCTGCGGCCTGCAACCGCGTGACACCGCACTGCACCCCTCGTCATGCCATTTGGCGGGCACCGCAGCAGCAGCGGTCCACCTGGAGGCGTCCGTCGGGGCATTCGTGAAGGCCACTCATGCGCCTCGCACAATTCACGCGCCTCACTCGACTCGCACGACTCACACGACTCGCGCGACTCATGCGACTGACATGGCTTGGCAGAGCGACTTGCTGAATCCGGCTGCGCCGCGGCAGCAGCAGGCCCGTTCGCGCCTGCTCGAGCAGTCACTTGCGTGGCGCACAGTGAAGGCGGGCGGGTGGCAGGGGAGCGGGTGGCAGGGGAGCGGGTGGCAGGGGAGCGGATGGCAGGGGAGCGGATGGCAGGGGGCTGGTGCCCCGTGGCATGGCATGATGGACCGCTGGCTTGAGAGCGCTCTGATTGGCCCATGCTATGATGCCGTGGGGATTGAGAGTGCGAGTGAGAGGAAGCGCATCAAGACTGCTGGGGCTGAGTGCAACGCCCAGCACGGCCGGCAACAATGGCATGCTCTGATGCAGCAGCCGCAGCCGCAGCAGCAGCAACATGACTCAATACAATTCAGAAGGTGCAACGAGCAAAGTGTGAAGGCAAGCACTTGTTCCTCCTCTGCCCTGTCCTCCTGGCATGGTGTATCTACTGCTCCCCCTGCCACCGCTACTGTCACCTCCGCCTTGAATCACATGCCGCCTCACACCCCATCTCTCTCCCCACGCCCTCCCGCTCCTACTGCAAGTGACGCCACTGCAGCCCAGCCTGCCGCCCACGCCGCCCCGCAGTGTGCCGCCCAGCGCCACCTGCCGAAGGCCTTGTCTCCACCCCCTCCGCTAAGTGTACTACTGGATACCCTGCCCCCCCTCCCTCCCCTCTCCCCTCTGCCTCCCCTCCCTCCCTTCCCCCTTTCGCCTGGCTCCGAGCTCCCGGCAGTCCCTGCCGCTCCTTCCAGTGCTGCTGCTGCCACGTGTGTGGGGGCAGGGGCACTGGAGGGGCAGCGGGAGGTGGATCTGGACAGGTGGATTCTGGAGCAGGTGGACCTCATGGCGGGGGGGCAGGGGGGTGCTGAGCAGGCTTTTTGGGCTTGAGACGTCAGAACTTGTGATGGGGGCCACGGAAGCACATGATTGTGGCCAGGTGTGAGGGACAAGTAGATGGCGAGGTGTGTGGGGAATGAGAGAAAATAAGGTAGCATAATGCAGCGTGGGGGGAGTGTGGGTGGGCAGCAGGCAAGAGCCCGTGAGGAGGGAGAAAACAGCCGATCTGAAACCTGGAAAGGAGAGGAGTAAGGGCGTGTAACTTTGCTCCGACCAAGCCCAAAATCCGACCAAATGGCCGGATCAGGCGAAAGCGAAAAGTGTAACCTATAGGCGAGCCCCGTCAAACATTTCGAGCACAACGACCATTCTGTTTGCGAGGACGCGGAACAACCACCCTAAACCACCCCCGTAATTTGTCGGAGAAAGTTGCTTTCCCAGTTTCAGCATCGAACCGGATGTGGAAAGTAGTGAGCGCGGGTAGATTAGAGTGTTCAGCAAAATAACGGTGGTATAAAATCACTCTCTGTCAAGGATGACTACTAAGTAATTACAATCTGTAGGTGTAACCCTACAACTTCGCAATCATCAGAACCGCCCATGTAGTCGACCATTTCCTTTGATCGAAGCAAATTTACTCGCCCTAAGACTCATAAGGCAGAATGTCCTAAGGATGAGAAGGGATGGAGCAATCTTTTGAGAAGGTTGCGGACCTTTTTTACAATGGATAGGCATCTTTAGGTGTACATATAGGGATGCTCAAACTGCGTTTGATATGCCAAGATCTTGAGCAGTCTGGTTATGCTTCAACTCCCAAGCTTTCAGGCTTGTACCCTATGGTCAGGGCTCAAAATTGGTTTTCGGCCACCCTGTCAAATCAGGGTGCCAGCCAGGGCCTAACCTGATTGGTAGGATAAAACATTCGTTAGCCTGGCAAATTCAGGGTAATAAAACAATTAGCCTAAACCATAGGCTATGGTATGCACCCATCCGTGTACATTGTCTGAGAGAGCAGCAAGTAGAGAAGAAAGAGCTGTCAGAATCTAGCAGCAGGAATGATTGAACTATCAAAGAATTGGGTACAAATATGAAACCCTAATGTGGGCTTTACCCCATATTGGCTACCCCACTACAGCCTAAACACATATAGCATATATAATATTTGACACACCCCCATAGGCAAAGTGGGGGAGAGCAAGGGGTCACAAGACCAGTCAAGAGAAGCAAAGCAAGCTCAGGGTGGATCACAACGTCACCACACACACTGAGCACAAGCAAAGGGCCACAAGGCCAGTTCACATGCAGAGGTATATATGCAACACCAACAGCACAGTGATCTCTACCTAGCAGAGCAAACATGCAGGTATATATATAGATCACAGTACAAGCAAAGTCTACAGCAAGTGAGGAAAAGTGGGCACAAGGCCTAACAAAGTGCAGAAACGCTGATGATCACCAGACGGAAGTGCCTTGGTGAATATATCAGCAGTGTTGGCCCGAGTGGCCACGTGAGCAAGACGAAGCTGACCACGCTGCTGCAACTCTCGAGCCAGGAAGTAACGCAGAGCGATGTGCTTCGTTCTGTGCTCCAGTCTGTGCTCCTCACACAAGGCAATGGCGGCCTTGTTGTCGACGTACAGCACTGGAGGAGAACGAGGCCGCTCTCCCAAGTCGGTCAGCAGGTAGGTGAGCCAGCGTAACTCCTGTGCAGCCATGGCTGTGGCGTAGATCTCAGCCTCACAACTGGAGCTGAGAACTGAAGACGAGCGTGTAGAACGCCAAGAAAATGAACCAGAGCCAAGGCTGAAGGTGTAACCCTGTGACGACCGCTGCGTAGCCTGGTCGCCAACCCAAGATGCGTCTGAGTGCCCAGTGAGGACAATGTCGCTCCGTCCTCCAAGCACGAGCCCCATGCCCGATGTACTGCACAAGTAGCGTAGTACCCTCTTAGCAGCATCCATGTGCACCTTTCGGTGCCGACCAGGAGCCACGTAGCGAGCTAGAAGGCCAAGAGGGTACGCAAGGTCAGGACGAGTGCAGGTCATCAGGTACATGAGGCAGCCCACTAGCTCTGGGTAAGGACCACTCGGCTCTACGTGTCAAACATTATATATGCTATATGTGTTTAGGCTGTAGTGGGGTAGCCAATATGGGGTCTTTGCCATCTCCATAACACGGCTGGCAGCACGTTCCAACCCTGTCGCTCCCATCGCTGCTTCCGCCTGTGCTGCTGCACTCCCCTCTCCCCCCTCCTCGTCGTCCTCTTCTTGCGCATTACTCCCCCCTCTGAACATGCTGTAACCCAGGGTCCAGAAGGCAGTCGATCCGCTGGAAGAGTGGAGGGGGGGGAGTGGAGGGTGGGGGAGAAAGACGGGACACAAGGGAGGATGCAAAGAGGGCAGCATGTCCCTGTTACTCCCCCCTCTAAACATGCTGTAACCCAGGGTCCAAAAGGCAGTCGATCCACTGAAAGGGTGGAGGGGTGGTGGGTGGGGGAGAAAGAGGGGACACAAGGGAGGATGCAAAGCGGGCGGCATGTTCTTGTTACTCCCCCCTCTGAACATGCTGTAACCCAGGGTCCAAAAGGCTGTCGATCCGCTGGATGGGGTTGAGGGAGCGGAGACAGAGGGGAAGGAGAGCATGCAGCAGGGTGTGTTTGAGAGGGTCCAGAAGGGTTTCATATTTGTACCCAATTCTTTCATAGTTCAATCATTCCTGCTGCTAGATTCTAACATGGTGTCAGAGCACTAGGTCCGTAGGACCGTCTTTTTTTTCCGGGCCCACCTACCGTTGCGGTTACCGCGCTACCCCACGTGTTGTCCTGTGCCTGCCTGCCTTGCCTTGTGACGTGCTGCGCTGCGCGCGCCGTCCTGCAGCCCTCGTGCTGCCTACTGCTGCCCTAGGCCAGCGCGCCGCCCTTGCAGGCCCGTAAGGCCCGCGCGCCGCCCCTGCAGGCTCGTAAGGCCCGCGCGCCGCCCCTACAGGCCCGTCAGGCCCGCGAGCCGCCCCTGCAGGCCAGAGCGCCGCCCCGCCAGGTCGCTGACGCGGCCCCGCCCTGCCGCTGACGCGGCCCCGCCCTGCCGCGTGTCAAACTATACTTGTTATAGTTTGTTAGTTTAGTCTAGGTGTTACATTGAGTTATGCTGTAGAGGGTATAACCCCCCTTAGGGTTTGCTATATCCTCCCTTGTACTGCTTGTTTCTACTCATTCATTATTCCAGTTCTATCTTTGACATGGTATAGAGCTTAGTTCGTTCCCATGGGCCCACCTCCGTACGCCCCGTTCGTTACTCGATAGCCGCCCGTAGCGCGCTCGCCGCCCGTTGGCTCGCTCGTTTTAGGGTTTCACATGCTAGCCGCTCGGTAGCCGCCCGTTAGCCGCCCGTCCACCGTCCGTTCGCCGTCCGTTAGCCGTCCGTTAACGCCCTCGGCAGGTCCCGTCACCCCACGGGCCGTAGCGCGGCCCCCGCGGGCCTTCGTCCGTCCCGTAGCACGCCCCCCCCCCCCCCCCCCCCCCCCCCCCGTGGGCGCTCCCGTTCGTCCTTAGCGCGCCCCCCCACGGGCGCTCCCGTTCGTCCTTAGCGTGGCCCCCGCGGGCGCACTCGTCCGTCCCGTAGCGCGCCCCCCCCCACGGGCGCTCTCGTTCGTCCTTAGCGCGGCCCCCACGGGCGCTCCCGTTCGTCCTTAGCGTGCCCCCCCGCGGGTGCTCTCATTCGTCCCGTAGCGCCCGTCGCCCGTAGCGCCCGTCGCCCGTAGCGCCCGTCGCCCGTAGCGCCGTCGTCCGTAGCGCCCGTCGCCCGTCGCCTTCGTGCCCGCGCCCGTAACCCTAATTTTCGCGCCCGTCGTCTGTCCCTGTCGCCCGTCCTCCTCCCCCCCCCCCCACTGTAACCCTAGCTCCGGCCCGCGCGCGCGCCGCCAGCACGTACACAGCCGCGCGCACGCAGCTGCGCGCACGCAACCGCGCGCACACAGGCCGCGAACGCAGGCCGCGAACGCAGCCGCGCGCGGGTTTAGGGTTTAGGGTTTAGGGTTTAGGGTTTAGGGTTTAGGGTTTAGGGTTTAGGGTTTAGGGTTTAGGGTTTAGGGTTTAGGGTTTAGGGTTTAGGGTTTAGGGTTTAGGGTTTAGGGTTTAGGGTTTAGGGTTTAGGGTTTAGGGTTTAGGGTTTAGGGTTTAGGGTTTAGGGTTTAGGGTTTGGGGTTTGGGGTTTGGGGTTTGGGGTTTGGTTTGGGGTTTGGGGTTTGGGGTTTGGGGTTTGGGTTTGGGGTTTGGGGTTTGGGGTTTGGGGTTTGGGGTTTGGGGTTTGGGGTTTGGGGTTTGGGGTTTGGGGTTTGGGGTTTAGGGTTTTGGGGTTTGGGGTTTAGGGTTTAGGGTTTGGGGTTTAGGGTTTAGGGTTTAGGGTTTAGGGTTTAGGGTTTAGGGTTTAGGGTTTAGGGTTTAGGGTTTAGGGTTTAGGGTTTAGGGTTTAGGGTTTAGGGTTTAGGGTTTAGGGTTTAGGGTTTAGGGTTTAGGGTTTAGGGTTTAGGGTTTAGGGTTTAGGGTTTAGGGTTTAGGGTTTAGGGTTTAGGGTTTAGGGTTTAGGGTTTAGGGTTTAGGGTTTAGGGTTTTAGGGTTTAGGGTTTAGGGTTTAGGGTTTAGGGTTTAGGGTTTAGGGTTTAGGGTTTAGGGTTTAGGGTTTAGGGTTTTAGGGTTAGGGTTTTAGGGTTTTAGGGTTTTTTAGGGTTAGGGTTTAGGGTTTAGGGTTTAGGGTTTAGGGTTTAGGGTTTAGGGTTTAGGGTTTAGGGTTTAGGGTTTAGGGTTTAGGGTTTAGGGTTTAGGGTTTAGGGTTTAGGGTTTAGGGTTTAGGGTTAGGGTTTTAGGGTTTAGGGTTAGGGTTTAGGGTTTAGGGTTTAGGGTTTAGGGTTTAGGGTTTAGGGTTTAGGGTTTAGGGTTTAGGGTTTAGGGTTTAGGGTTTAGGTTTAGGGTTTTAGGGTTTAGGGTTTAGGGTTTAGGGTTTAGGGTTTAGGGTTTAGGGTTTAGGGTTTAGGGTTTAGGGTTTAGGGTTTAGGGTTTA